TTGGACGTTTTACGGTAGCTTTATGATTATGTTGTGTGGTTTCAGTATGTTATCACTAGTGAACGAGGACTTCTGCGACATGCTATTCAGCAGCTGAAAAAAATCCCTCTAAAAGAACAACGTGGGCCTCAAGAGCGCATACACTTGAAAACCTTGCAGTGTAGGGTTGAAAACGAAGAGATGTCCTTCCTGGAATCCTTCTTGTCACCTATACGGAGTTGGGCCGATAAGCAGCTAGGAGACTTCCATCTCCATTTTGCCGAGGTTTACCTAAAAACAATTGCGTTCAGACACAAAAGTTACTTTCAGTTGAATTACAGTAATTCGTATATATGATCAGCCTTCTTCTTTACTTTGTCTGGTGAACTGTACACTTGCTTATGTGGTATTGCGTTTTGCATATCCGATGTACGCATAAGTCTCTGTAGTGTCCAGAAACTTGACGTATCGTTTCACATGTAGAATTATTCCATATGCATGTCACACACATGTATATATGTTTGCAGTAGATTTTATATATATTACATGAATTTAAATAAGAAGATATCTATCTAGGCTTCTAAATATTTTTCTATTGCAAGGCGGTTTCTTTTTCTCCATTTGTACCATTGAAGTTAGTCATTTTGTTCTTTTTCTGGACAACTTTTGCAGGGTTCACTTGTCATGGAGGATACAGTTACAGTTGCAATGATAACTTGGAGGCTTTTGTTGGAGGAATCTGATAAAGTACGTAAACTGCCTTTTAGTGGAATAATAGTGACAAAGTTTTCCCAATATGACTTTTGTACTTGTGACTAAGAATGATGGTTACTTTTCTCTACAGGCGATGCATTCTAACTCTTCAGATCGAGAGCAAATTGAGTCTTATATCTCATCTTCCATCAAGAATACATTCACAAGGGTAAGTTTCATATTAAATTTCTAGATGCTCGACCAACAGTGAGATATCAGTTCTCATTTAGGCCCATTCTAAGAATTAAGCATATTCTGTTTCCAATGTACACACATTTGACGCATAAAATTAAGGAAGGTATGATGAAGCTGATTCTTGCAATTTACAGATGTCACTTACCGTTGATAGATCAGACAGAAACAGTGAGCACCCTTTGGCGTTGCTTGCTGAGGAGACAAAGAAACTTATGAAAAAGGACTCTACCATCTTTATGCCAATTTTGTCTCTGAGGCACCCGCAGGCAATTGCATTTGCTGCATCCCTTGTTCACAAGCTTTATGGGAACAAGTTGGTAAGCCTGATGTTGGCGTCCTATCTTATTACTTTTTGGTTACTACATCTCATTCATATATGAAATCTTGACTTTCTATTTCATTTCAGAAACCTTTTCTTGATGGTGCTGAGCACTTGACTGAGGATGTTGTCTCTGTTTTTCCTACGGCTGATAGCCTTGAGCAATATTTGCTAGAGTTAATGACCTCTGTCTGCGGAGATGATACAAATGGACCTTACTTCAGAAAACTAATTCCATATGAGGTTAGACTCACATATGTTTTACTTTGAAATTTAGGAAGAATGGCTTAAGCCACCTTGTAAACAGGGGTGAATTCAGTGATTACTCATGTTGGCTTTAATATTTCCCAATTTTATATCTGCTAGCTCGAATCTCTCTCTGGCACATTGGTTTTGAGATGGATCAATTCACAGCTGGGAAGAATTTTAAGTTGGGTGGAGCGAGCTTTTAAACAAGAGGTGAGATTTGGTGTTTCCTTTGCATATCTGTTGGCGAGTGGCTATTCTCTGTGTGTTTTATACTAGATTTTCCGAGCCATAACACATCTTAGCTTTCCTGTATAGCATTGGGACCCAATATCACCTCAACAGCGCCATGGGAGCTCAATTGTCGAAGTTTTCAGGATCGTAGAAGAGGTAGGTTCCTATAGTCCACTTAATTAGCCTTTTCAGAGGAGCATATGTATGTTGTGTGGTTTAGAGCACATGTTGACTAGTTTTAATGAGTCTCATCAGTTGCTTAAGGCATTTGCTTATTTTGTGTTCAATTTGTTGAATCTAGATTTCACTCTAGTTCCCAAATATTCTGCATGAGAAAGATTATTACGCTTCAATGAAGCTGTCTAACTAATGTTTTGATAATCTTCGATGCAGACTGTTGATCAATTTTTTGAAATGAAAGTTCCAATGAGATCCATTGAACTAAGTGCTTTATTCCGTGGCATTGACAATGCATTTCAAGTATATGCTAACCATGTCATGGAGAAGCTAGGTATGCACCATATGACTGGTTGAATTCGCTACTGAACTTTGAAGTTTAAAATACTTTCACTTATATTCTTATGAGCTGCAGTTACTAAGTTTTGTCTTCCTTAACCTGGACCTTGATTTTTGTATACTGGAATTATGGTATTGGATGTTTACTTTTCCAGCTAGCAAGGATGATTTGGTTCCACCTGTGCCGGTTCTTACTCGTTACAAGAGGGAAGCAGCAATCAAGGTTTTTGTTAAGAAGGAACTATTCGAGTCAAAACTGCCTGAGGAGAGAAGGTCGATCAACATTGATGTTCCTGCAACCGCTGTGCTTTGCGTTCAGCTCAATACTTTACATGTAACTTCAAGACTCTCTTCCTCAGTTCAAGCATCATTTACAAGTTTGTTGCTATCTATAATGTTTTCATGATATGCTTTTCACAGTATGCTGTTAGTCAACTGAGCAAGTTAGAAGACAACATATGGGAGCGATGGATAGCAAAAAGACCTCGTGAAAAGATTGTCATCAGTACGGACTTTCTATGCGTTTATTCAATCCTTAATTTCATTTTCCTTTACAAAAATTCTTATTTTTTCTTGAAATGATCTTTAACTTTAAAGGAAAAACTTTGGTTGAGAAATCCAAGAGTTTTAACCAGAAGGAATCTTTCGAGGGGAGTAGAAAAGATATCAATGCTGCTCTGGATCGTATTTGCGAGTTCACTGGTGAGATACCGGATGTTTACATCCTATAGGGGGATTCATTGTCAAATGGTTAAATTAATCATGACTTCTTTCACACTGCAGGAACTAAGATTATCTTCTGCGATTTAAGTGAGCCATTTATTGAACATTTGTACAAGCCAAGTGTTTCTCAATCAAGATTGGAAGCATTAATCGAACCCCTTGACACGGTAAGAAATCTCCCCTTGGACAAGGCATTTGATTTTTAGCTGAGCCAGGCATTTAGAGTTTATATATATGAGCTCTGAACTGCCACAAACAAGGTGCTGGTAACATGTCATGGTTTCTAAAAAGTAGTGCCTAGAAGTCACTCGAGCATAAAGTTCCTTGACCATCTTGAACATTTGGCACCAGCGAATATTAGCAAAGACATTTTTGTTGACATTGCTAAATTAAATTTCTGATAACTTTGCCTAGGAACTTGGACAGCTATGTAGTGTCATAATGGAGCCATTGAGGGATCGCGTAGTCACCAGCCTGCTTCAAGCATCACTTGTCTGTACTTTAATCTTAGTGGTTTCGTTTACATTATAGACAAGCTCTCAAGTGTTTGCCTTTTGATAGATATTATTTGTTATCTACCAGGACGGACTGCTTCGCGTATTATTAGATGGAGGCCCTTCACGTGTATTTCATCCAAGCGAGTCAAAGCTGTTAGAAGAAGATGTAGAGGTCTTAAAGGTAACTCTTTCTCAACGGTCATCTTATCTTTTACCGCTCAAAATGCCCGATTCTTTAAAGGTCATATGATTAGTGGATTTTTCTAGGAGTTCTTTATTTCTGGCGGGGATGGACTTCCAAGAGGAGTTGTTGAAAACCAAGTAGCGCGTGTTCGGCTTGTTGTAAAGTTGCATGGATACGAGGTTAGTACAACCGCTCCAGCTTCTTATCCTTATCAATTAAGTGTGGCCATTCGGTTTTGTTCGATTTGAAAAGAATTTGGTTCTTGGTATGGAATTTTGTGCCAATCCTTATGGTCTACTTGCGTATAACTACGCGACAGACACGAGAGCTTATTGATGACTTGAGGTCTAGAAGCAGTCTAGAGATGCAGCAAGGAGGAAAAGGCAAACTTGGAGCGGACACACAAACATTGGTGCGAGTGCTGTGCCACAGAAACGATTCAGAAGCGTCTCAGTTTCTGAAAAAACAATACAAAATCCCAAAATCCCACGCCTAATCGATAAACCCTGCTCCATTCGTCCTTGCGG